AAATGATCATCTTGTTCATGCTCTTAAAAATTGTTTTGCAGGACTGAAAGCTACAAACTATACTTTTTCTCCTGCCTCCCACATTTTTCACAATTCCTTTTTGTCTCCTTCTATGACCCGCATTCTGTTCACCCCTTAGCTTCCTATTCATTTCCAAACTATAAGCCTATAGATCACCATCATCTATGAGGGCACCTTAATTTCAGTCTTGCAGAAAAATGTAGGGAATAGAAGTCATCTTAACTAAGGGGAAGCATACTTTTGCTTGCAAAAGCTATCAGGAAATAGGGAAATGGCAGTCATCTTACTTCAGAGCAGTCTCTGACTTAACTCCTATTGAAAGTAATGAGAAATTGTAGCTATTCAGTAAAGCATTTGCAAATGTGCTACCAGATTCTGGGAAAGTAGGGGATGACAAGCTATAGTGCAAGGGTATCAAAAAATTATCCCTCCCTTTTTATTATTTGTACCTTTAGTTACAATTTGTCCTGTGCTCTCTTAGGAACAAGTTGGAACATTTTCCTTTGAAAAATCAGGATGCAAATGGCTTCTTCAAAGCTGGTTTTGACCCAATGAAGTGTAGCAAAACCCCCCGTTTTGCTTTTGTTATTTATTTTAAAATGCATTCCTTCCCCTTCCCCAACCATTTCTGACTTTTTCTCTCCCTCTCTATTCCCTATAGATAAGTGTAAGTGAGGTTTAACATTTTTATTTTCATAACAAGTTTTTGGTTTTGGATATCCACTATTTTATATTGTATTATTATTAGGTTTGTACTGATTCTTACTGTTGTATATTGTATTATCATTTTTGTATTGATTTTTATTGTTTCATATGGATATTGTATGGTTTAGGCCTGTGTCTGTAAGTGAACCAAAGTCATGTCAAGTTTCCATTTTATATGTCAAGCCTCCATCTTGTGTCCTCTGCCTGGGAATCCCATGTTGCAACTGTATGAGTCACGTACCCCTCCCATGTAAATTGGTTCCCGGATGATTGGGAATGACTGAAATACAATGGTAGCAAGCCTCTACTGAATGGCCTGTAACGACTGGGCCATCACCTCGCATTGATTCATCCAGGAACCACGGACCTCACCCAGGAACAGAGACAAGAACCCAGCATTTGAAAGACAAAAGACCCTGCAGAACCAGCAACTCTACCATTGTACCCCACCATTACAGACACCCAAAACTGCACATCCCTGCATAGAGCACACGTGCTCAGTATGCCAGGGTCTGAACCTTGCCTGGGCATGCCTTCTGTCACTAGGGTCACACAAGGTCTACCCCTATAAAAAGAGGCAGTGAAGACAGACCCAGAGGGATGCCCTCTCCATCTGGACCAGTACCATGCCACACCACCTATCCACCCAGAGGCCCTGCCAGTGACCCCCCTCTGGACAACACCTACGGGACAAGGACCCCTTTCCAGCCTGGATAGGTAGCTATCCCCCCCACCCCCCTCTTCAACCAAGGACTTAGACTCTGCTTCTCTTCCCTACCTGGACTCCAGCCCTTCCACTGAGTCTTTTTCTCCTGCTGCCATTGTGAGTGCTGGTGTGTGTGTGTGTGTGTGTGTGTGTGTGTGTGTGTGTGTGTGTGTGTGTGTGTGTAATGGCATTGTATGTATGATATACGAATTAGTGATCTGTGTCTAACTTTTGGGGTGTATAGTGTATGTGCTTGAATTGATGATAGGTATGCATGTGCCTAGGCTGGTTTGGATGTGTATGTGCCTGAGCTTGTAGAGTGTGTGTGTGTGTGTGTGTGTGTGTGTGTGTATGCACCTAATTGATTTGTGTGTTTGTATATGTGCAATTGTGCCACACCCTCCTGTCTAACAGCGCAATATTGAGATCCTGAGAGTTGGCCTGACCCCACAGGGCAACAGAAGTAGGTCTCATTCATCAGGGAAGCAGAATGCCTACAGAGTTTCTATAAGATTTCAGTGGTAATCTGAGCAATTTTTCCAGGGTGAGTCTACACCAGATTATACATTACACCAGCGTAGGTCTATTACATCATGTATCTACACCTGCATTTCAGCGTTTATACATATGCAAATGACGCAGCACTGGGTGCATCAGTTTGCATGCTCTGCATGTATGATGAATGTATGTGTATAAATGCCCTGTAATAGCTCCCAAAGCAACAGCTACCATGGGAGAACTGATGGTCTATTCACTCTGTATACCAGCATAATTTACACTGGTGTACTATGCTCATAGATTGCTATCATGCAAGGGCAATAGTGTTCTTCCACTGATCCAAATGAAACAATTCCGTACCTCACAGGTAGATTACCATAACATACAACCTGAATTTACAGAATTTAGATTTTAGGAATGAAAATACTGCAATCTTTAAAAAAAAATCTAGTGAATAATTGCATAAAGAAGTAATAGTAAGGAAGTTATTTATTTAAATAAATAATAAAAAGGAAGTAATAATAAATCTACAAATGTACCACCAAGAGCCACTCCCTACTTAAACTGACTCTATAGTAGACTTTGATACTATGTAAATTGCAAGATGATGGAAAATTGTAATATAGACAAATTAAAATTATACCAAGTCACAACAGAATAAAAAGGGGGAAAGATTTTTAAACAGACCATTTAAGTACCTTTATCTTTTTCATTTTTGCTAGATTATTTAACTCAAGTTTTTGATAAACACTTGGGATTTTTTTTCTGTTAAAGATCTGTTCTCCTCAGCTAAGAATGTTCCCATTCCAGTAGGCTGTTCCTCCTAAACAATCACAAGCAAGCTCCCCTCATCTTTAGAGGCTCCCTACAAAGTAGGAGTTCCCCAGTACTCAAAGAGAAGAAAAACATAGAGCTAACATCCTGTCTCTGGGATAACAGTTTCCTTCTGCTGCAGGCTATCTTAGTTCTGTAGCTCAAGCAGTAAAATTGTGTGCTGTGGCGAAAAAGAGCTGGAGTGTAAGCCCTGTTGGTCATACACGCTAAAAGGTGTCATTGTTACAATGGTGCATAACAGAATTTACCATCTGCTTTTAAAAAAGCATCTAGGAAACTGCATCAATAGAACTATAGCAAAAGAACATCATTAAGTAGCAGAGTTAAAGGAAATTAAGAATGCGAGATTTATACTGGCCCCAGCAACCTAAACTCTACCACTTGTTTGTACCTGGGATGATACAGCCTTTAATTACTGAATAATATATTTTTCCCACAAGACCCTTGGGCTTCATTCAGAGCACCGAATGGACACACCAGGGACCAAATTAAGGTTGCACAGGCAAAATTAAACCCAGCATTTCCTAACTTTTATGTGCTTAACTTTGCAACCCAAATAACATTCTTTTATATAGCATTTCACATGATTTATTTGGCTAAAATGAAGGCATTTTCTGTTTACAGAGGACTTTTCTGTTTGCACGCTATACTTTAGCCTAAGTAAGTGCTAACCCAAAGACCAAACCAATATAGTTAACAAATTCAAAAAGACCATCTCAGAGGACTAAGATGTCTAAATACGGTGTTTGAAACATAACTTGGTTAGAAAGTGTTTTTTCTAAAAGAAAAGTTGAAGAGAGTTTGGAATAGCATAAACAAAATTGCTGGATGAAATGATACACTGAACAGAATGCATCTGTTGAGTCAGTCAGACTTACGATAGCTTCCCACTAATTAAAGATGTGAGTCATTATATTATGAAAGGGAAGTATCCTCAAGTTATGTAAAGAACTAATGGGTTTAGTTTATATGAACAACTAGCTGCCTACAAACTTTCATTAAAAAAAATAAATCTAAAATATGGCCAGAAGTATCTGAACCCTTTCCCCAAATATTTCCATTCATTCTTGAGAAAATTTCTTTTCCCCAAAGAATCCCATGTTAGCCTATTAACGTGTGCCACATATTTCAGTCTACCACAATTTAAAGGTGACTTGCAAAGATAAATGAAAACTGCTTGTGCCCTTTGTTCATAACATAATAAAGACCTGAAAGATGTAGGGTTTGGTTTAAAGCGTTATTGTACTGGTTTTCCGCTTTAAAAATACCTACGGTGGGGGGGACCTGCCTTTTGGCTGCCATGCTACAAATTAGCCCTGCACTCTCCTCAAGTGCCCCTCTTATCCACTTCTCCTGCCTGATACACTGCTCTGCTTTCTGTCCCTACCTGGCATGCTGCTCTGCTTTCTGCTTCCTTCCCTGTGCTCCCTGCCTGATTTGCAGCTTTGCTTTCCGCTTCCTGCCCCATCTGCCACTGCACTGCCTGTCCCCTCCCTGGTTTGCCAGATGCCACACAGAGTCTGCCTGTGACATCTGTGGTGCCCATGACACAAGTTGGCCATCCCTGACTGACAGTACTGGAATCTTAACTTCCATGGACTTACAGGTGATTATTTTGGAAGAATAGAAAACTAGAAAAGAAGTCTCCTCAACTCTCGTCTTGAGCAGCAGGAGAAAATGATTATGTCAGAAAATTTTCTCCTAAGTTGTCTGCCAGAAGCTTGAGTTCAATGACGTAAATAGCAAAGGAACAATATTTATTTTAAATGTTCTGATTTAAAATTCTTCTTCCTTTCAACTGCTCAGCTACCAACCTCTGGTTACGTGTGATAGCTTCATTCCACTAGTTCTCCAGTCACCCTTATAAATCTTCCAATGCAATCAGGGCAGATAAGACTCAATCTTTCTAGTGCAAACCCCAATAAAAGAAAACAAACCAGAAGCAGAACCATCTGGCAGAAACCTCACACTCCATTTTTAAATCAAACGCACCCTTACAAATTGCTCTACATATCTCAAAGAAGCAAAAAAGGGTGCAAACACAATTCCCGCTACTTGTAGGTCACCTTTTAGAACACATCAGATTTTCATTATGGCAACCTGGGCAAACCATTGTGGCAAGGACATGCCATAAATAAAACAATATATGTGTCTAACTGGGAGAAGTTTTAACACCTTGGTCATACTCAGTAGATTATTAATAAAACTATAGGAGTGTGAGGTGAAGGTATTATACCTGGTCATGGCTGGCTTCAATGTTGCTTCCGATACCATGGAAAGTCATCTGCACAGGAGACAGTGTCAAACAGGTCATAAACTCTTTGCCATTTTGTCTATCACTGACGTGTACCTATAACAGAATAACATACGTAATCTGCTAAACACCAGGTTGCACAAGGGAGTCAAGCTATAATAATCTGTCCCTTTTCAACAAGTTTGTAAAAGGAATTCCAAACATTTACATTCAAACTGTTTTTTAATATAACCAAAAGGGGTGTGTACAACATGCTGGGTATCCACATGCTGAACTGGCAACAAATTTTAGTAATTTAATCAGGTCTTTGAGCCCTTTGTCACTCTGGTGACTAGAAACTTTGAGGCTTAATAAAAGATGCCATCATTACAGAACTGGCAATCTAGCTTTAAGTTCTGGCTTTGAATCTAAATGTTATTTTTAGCAATTTTTTTTTTTTTTTATAACTTAGTTAAAAACTTTAAATCAGTAGTGCTCAACCTCCAGACTGCAGGCCAAACCTTGCCTGTGTGGCCATGTCACCTGACCCACAATGCTTCCCATGGGCTTGGAAACTTGGCAATGGGGCAGTATTAACTGCCATGGCTCAACTGCCGTCAAATTTCCCGCCTCTTGGGGAGCCGCAAGAGAGAAGACATGGTTCTGCACACCAGATCATGCTGGTGCATGGGGGAGTCCATGGCTGTCACTGCCATGCAGGACTAAGCTGGTGTGCCAAGCTGCACCCGCAGACAAACCCCATGTCTTGACCCCTGGGTGGGATCTTCCCCACAGACTTCCCCCTGCCACTCCCTCCCTTGGGATCCGGCCCATGGATCAGCCCCATGCCATACATCTACGGGGGCAGAAAGTTGACTACAACTGCTTTAAATTACTGGAGTCTCCACAGACTTGCATTATTACTTTTAAATTGCAATGGGATCTCTACTGAAATGCAGTGATTGTTTTGACATTGCAATATTGTTATTGCTAATTTGATACTTTAACTTTTGAATCAAATCAAAATGACATACAACAGAGAAGGAAGTCACATTTCTCTTAAAGATGTGTAACTTATCTTTTCTCACGCACAACTCATTGTCCACCAGTGTCAGAAAGTGCATGCTAATCAGATTCTTGCATGGGAAGTACAGGAACATACTAGCCCTACTGGATTTCCTTCCTTCCCTTCAAGGCCACCGAGATTCAATTTTTAAACATTCTTTTAAAAAAAGGGAGGGGGGGGGAAGGGAAAGTATTCCTGTTTTAAGGCAAGATTAAGTTAAGCAACTTCAATCTTTTATTAGTAAGTACAGTGTTGCCACTCACGTTGAATTGATGAAATATTACAGTCTACTTTGTAGCTTCTTGTTTCTTGACAAGCAGGTGGGAGCATTTTGTTCTATAAGAGGGCTGGAATTTAGTTTATGGTGGTAATTTACATTGATTGTGTGACCCTTGTCAGAAATAGGAAAAGAGATTACCTTTACTGGAGACATTCACTTTAGGCTTGTACATACAGCTATATAGATGTTTGGGAAAATGTGTAGGATAAGGCCTCATATCTTTACATTTAGGCTATACACTTAAATACTATTATTTTCTAAGATAACCAGGAACCATATTAAATGATTCCAAGAGTCTGTGGAACTGATTTAGAAATGTATAATGCTGGATCATGCATCAGGTGTACTATACATGTTCTTCATTGGTGTAAACTGACAATAACTGAATTGTAGTAAGTGGAACTGCACCAATGCAAGACTAGTTTAAGTGAGAGGAGAATCAGGCTTTTGGTATGTTAAAGAATTAACCTTATTGACAATGCGAACTGCCAGCACATCAGCAGCCCGAAAGGGCTCAGTGAGCTACAGAATGTGGATTTTCCCTTGTACTGTGTACTGAAATATAGATTTCACTCAACCCCTTGTTAAAGCTTTGTGGTCCATCCCCCTTTCTCTCTCTCCCCTGTCAACCCCCACAATATGTGCCTACTAAATTGCTTGTGGCTTTCTGCCAGAAAAGCCATACTCGTCACTTAGAAACCACAAGAGGCCCCTTCACATATACAATGGCTTAACTCTGATTAATCAAAAGAGGTATGAAGGTATGAAACTTGGCTTACAAACGTAAACTGAAGTTCTCTAACTGTCAGGAACTACTGTTGTTACAAGAACTTATCAGGCACCCATAACCATGGTATTTAGTTGCAAATTAAAATACTTCTCTTGAATATGTGCTTGGCAGGAAGTGTGGCAGAGAGGAGCGCAAGCAGTTAGTTCTATGCTCACAGCATGCATCAGAACAGGGAATGGGATTTTGCCTTCCTATGGAGCCCATACATGTGCTACAGGGTGTCAGGAGGTCTGGAGCAGGAGACTTTCTGCCCTATAGCATGACTGAAGTATCAGTGTGCTCTTGTTGCGAAGAAGGCTAATGGTATACTGGGCTGCATTAGTAGGAGTGCTGTCAACTGATTGAGAGAAGTGTTTTTTCCCCTGTATTCGGCACTGGTGAGGCCACATCTGGAGTACTATGTCCAGTTTTGGGCCCCCCATTACAGAAAGGATGTGAACAAATTGGAGAGAGTCCACCAGAGGACTTTAACAAAATGGTTACAGGGCTTGGGGACTTGGGCTTATCTAGTTGGGAGAAGAGAAGGCTGGGAGGAGGGGGTGGGGAGGAGGTGGAGATTTAATAGCCTTCAATTACCTGAAGGGTGGTTACAAAAAGGATGGAGCTAGACAGTTCCCAGTGGTGGCAGATGACAGAACAAGGAGCAAAGGTCTCAAGTTGCAGCACAGGACGTTTAGGTTAGATATTAGAAAAACTCTCTCACTAGGAAGGTAGTAAAACACTGGAAAAGGCTACCCAGAGAGTTTGTCCAGTCTCCATCATTAGAAGTTTTTAAGACCCAGGTAGGCAAAACCTTGGCTGGGGTGATATCGTTGGGAATGGTCCTGCTTTGAGCAGGTGATTGGACTAGGTGACCTCTTGAGGTCCCTTCCAACCCCAATTTTCTATGATTCTTTGAACAAACACTTTGCTTACAGTTACATTTGCAGCAAGAATGCCTATGCAGCTAGCTAGCAGAACAAGAAATGAAACTCAGCATTTTCATCATCTCCCCTTCTGAGCTCACATCGCTTAATGATGTATAGGCCTATTATTTAGAAATTTCTGAGTCCCTCACAGTCCTCAAAACATCCATTGCCATAGTAGGACATCCTTAAAATTTGTTCAGATTCACCGTGGAATCAAACCTGCGCTGTGACCTGTGGGGTCCCTCAAGGCTCTTTCCTAGGGCCCATACTATTTAACATCTTCATTAATGATGTAAACATTGGTGTCAGAAGTGGACTGGCCAAGTTCGCTGATGACACCAAACTCTGGGATACAATGTCCACACCTGAGGGCAGGATGGTGATCCAGGCAGACCTTGACAGGCTCAGGAAATGAGCAGACAAAAACCTGATGGTGTTTAACACTGAAAAATGCAAGGTTCTCCACCTTGGGAGGAAAAACCTGCAGCACAGGCTCATAGGCTTGGCAGTGCTACACTGGCTAGCACTATGGACAAAAGGGACTTGGGGGTCATGATTGACCACAAAATGAACATGAGCCTTCAGTGTGATGCTGCAGCTAGTAAAGCAAGCAAAACCCTGGCTTGCATCCATAGATGCTTCTGAAGGAAATCCCAGGACGTCATTCTCCCATTGTACTCACCCTTGGTGAGGCCACAGCTGGAGTACTGCATCCAGTTTTGGGCTCCACAATTCAAAAAGGATGTGGAAAAGCTTGAGAGAGTGCAGAGGAGAGCCACATGCATGATCAGAGGTCAGGAAAACAGACCTTATGACAAGAGGCTGAGAGCCATGGGACTCTTCAGCCTGGAAAAGCACAGGCTCAGGGGTGATCTGGTGGCCACCTATAAGTTTATCAGGGGTGATCACCAGGATCTGGGGGGGGAACATCTGTTCATCAGAGCGCCTCAAGGGATGACAAGGTCGAATGGTCACAAACACCTCCATTACTGTTTCAGGCTGGACATAAGGAAGAACTCTTTTACTGTCCAAGCCCCCAAGGTTTGGAATAGATTGCCGCCGGAGGTGGTTCAAGCACCTATTTTGAACGCCTTCAAGAGACATTCGGATATTCATCTTGCTGGGATCCTATGACCCCTGCTGACTTCCTGCCCCCGGGGCAGGGGGCTGGACTCGATGATCTTCCGAGGTCCCTTCCAGCCCTAGTGTCTATGAATCTATGAAACTCCTATCTCCGTAAACTAGGGACCAGTTATGAAACTGGTTTTGTGGAGTAGGAAAAAACCCCAGAATGTAGTTCTTCAGTCAGATTCCTTTATTATACACTCTTCAAAACGTATTTCTGCTCTTCTCACAGATATCTGGAAGTTTGAAAACAACCGAGTTACCTTTTTGGTTCATTCTCCTGGGTTGACCTGCTAGTGTACAATATGCTTTCACTGCCCTAAATCAGGTTTGCTTGACAAAGGAACTTGCAAGAAGGCTGCAGGTGTTTTTTCTCCTATTCTTCTTGTTCTAGTGTGTGGCCTCTTGGCTTTTGAGCTATTTTATTTTACTATTGTGCATTTTGGTATTTTACAGCCAACTGTCCAGCAATGCCATTATTAGTGATTTTGCCTGACGTACCCTCTCCTGTAAATTTGATCTATACTCTAATTTTCATTAAGTCTCCCACATGAACATGGGCATTCATGAGTCTGACCAAAATACACAAAGACAGTCCACTATTTCCAGGCTAGTCCTTTTTAAAACATGGAGTACCAGTAGTCCAGCAGCCTTAGAATTTTTCTGAGTGATAACAGACACTTTTCTATTTTCAACTACACTTTATGATTTTCATTGCAATAAAAGTTTTAGTGTATAAGTCTATGCTGTTATAGGCAGCAGAGGTATCTGAGTGCCTCACAGACTGGGATGAGAGTCACCTTGGTATCTGAGACAAAGGAAGAGAAGTTGAACGCTGAGCAGCTGCTCTTAAGAACGGCCTTAGAACCTGAGGTTGGGGAGTGGCAATCAGAGGCTGACCAAGTGCTCTGAGAGTGATTACATTGCAATTAGTAAGGATAATTGCTC